TCCTCTTTCTTAAAAGGCTGCTCCCTCTCCCGCTCGCACCTCCTCCCTCTCTCTCTCTCTACTTCTTCTCTCTCTCTCTCTCTGCCTTGGCATGGCCGCCTGAGGTCAAATACCCATCCCGCTTTCTCTCTCTTTCTCGCGCAATCTTTGTCCCAGATTCCAACCCTCACCCCTCCCCTCCATCCATTTATATTACTGTCTGCCTGCCTGCTAGTGCTCCGCTTCATCTCTTCCCCATGGCCATGGCTTCCACGGCGGCGGACAGCGAGCCCCGGACGGAGCAAAAGCGCCGCTAGCTTGGCTTCTAAGTTCTGAGGCTCTGACCTCCCTTCTCACCCACCCCACACCTACCTATCAGTACAGTCACTGAGTAGCAAGCTCAGCTCAGCTCGGCTTGACTTGAAGTGGTGCGTAGAAGTTGGTTGTTGGTTGCGCGGAGAGGAGCGGATGGAGAGCAGATGGAGGAAGGCCAAGATGTCGCTGGGGCTCAACCTCTGCGTCTACGTGCCGCGGACGCTGGACGACCTGGACGCCGGCCCGCCCTCCACGGGCTCCTCCACGGCCGCGCTCGTCTCGCCGGCGGCCTCCTCCTCCTCCTACGCCACCAGCGCCAACACCACCCCCACCGCCGACCCGCCCAACGGCAGCGCCAGGGGCCCCGGCGCGCTCATGCCCACCACCCCGACGCCCACCTCCGCCGGCCTCCGCCTCTCCAAGTCCGGCAGCAAGTCCTTCAAGGTACCGCCACCACCATGTCTTCTGTAACATAACATTGAAAAAAAAGAACTTGCTGCAAAGATCCATCTATCTATCTATTACCATGCTCTTCTTGATTTATCTCTGCTTTCTCAGTTAATTAAGCTCTAATCCCTCACAAAAACTACTTAAAAGCTTGGATTCAGGTTGTACACCTGTGACGTTCTTGTGCTTCCAATGATGCGCGCAAGTAGCTTTCTTCCATTCTTTCGACACACACACACGCACAAAGTGGGGTGAAGAACACAGGAGGAGGGGGGGAAAGGAGGAGAATGTGAGGGGCAATGGTGGATGGGGAATATCATCATGGAGTGGGGGAGTTTGTCTTTCTTTACTGCTGGGGTCCTCCTCCTCCATAGATGGATAGATAGTCCACACATCTTTTTCCTCATCACTCACCTTTTCCTCCTAGTCCTCCTAGATAGCCAGCCATCCTCATTCACTTCACTTCTTTTCGTGGAGGCATAAAGAGGAGGCAGTGACACACACAGCTCCTTTTCACAGCAGCAGCTTGCCTGCTTGGACACTGTTCTCAGATGCCTTCTTGCATTCTTCCAACACACACCGGCAAAAAAAACAACATTTGAGAGCAGGAGCGTGGGTGCCCATGGAATGGATGCCTGGGAGCCCACCGGAGCCCCCCTTTAGGGCGCCCAGAGGCCAGATTTGGAAAAGGTGATTAGTTTCCGGCCAGATGATGCCAATTTGCAAATTGTTTAGCTGCAGTGTCCCTAGTTAAGTTGCAGTATCCCTAGTTATGCCATGGGCTATGGAATCAATGACGTGGCGCCGCGCTCAGCGGACACGGGGGATGGTTTAGGTTTGGGTTTTCAAATCTTTGTGGGGGGGTCAGCTCTTTGATCTTCTTCCTGGTCTTACATGCTCAGGTGTTTTCTTTAGTCAGAAAAAATTGAATTATTCAAATCAAGGCATCCACATCACTATGATAATTCTAACAAGAATACCACCCCCTTGCATTATTTCAACAAAGATAAATCAGAACAGGAGGGGCTGGATTCTCATCTCTCTTTGGAGAACCCAGAGGCTCTCTGATCTTTTGGCCTTACAGGGTGAGGTGTACTGCTGTTTAGTCAGCGACGAATTATTCAAACTAAGGCACCTACATCACTTGAAAATGCTAGGAGATTACCACTTCCAATTGTAAATTAGCTTGACCATGGATTACCTAAACATTGAGCAAGTTTCTTCTTCTCAACTCAAAGTCTGAAAGTGCAGCGCAATAGCAAGGTGTTCTTTTAATCTGACAGAAGGCTGATACTGTGCGAAAGTGCCTTTCTGCTCCCGAGCTCATTTGAGCTCGGTGAACAGTAAAATCGAAAAAAAATAAAAAAAAATCTCAGAGAAACATTGACAAAAGTTCTAAATGCTTGCAAAAATTCATCATGAAATCACATTCCAGTAAGGCGTGGCAAAAAAAAAACAAATTCAGCATCCAAAATGCTTTTGAAAGTAGCATTTTCAGAGTACCGATTTTGTTTTTTTTTTTTGCCACGCCTTCTAGAAATGTGATTTCATGACGAATTTTTGCAAGCACTTAAAACTTTTGTCAATGTTTCTACCAAAAAAAATTGGAATTTTTTGATTTTTTTTTTAATTTTTTTCGATTTTTTTTATTTTACTGTTCACCCGAGCTCATATGAGCTCGGGTGCAGAAACTCCACGTCCGATACTGTGGTATTTTACAAAGGCTTTCCAAGGGTGGTCAACAATACTAATGCATTTCTTTCACAGTCAAGCAATCCATAACTTGGTCATCAGAACAAAACAATCTACGAAATGTTAAATGACAATGACGCTTGGAAAATCGAAAGCTCATGGATAACTTCATCTTCATGGACCACCATCCTTTTCATAACAGCTGCTTGGGCACTGCTCTCAGATCCCTTATTGCATTCTTTCAACAACAAAAATGAACAATTCAGAAGAAGAAATTTTTAAAGTTGCAGTGCCCCTTGTCATGTTACTGCACCAATGACGTGTAACAGTCCTAAACAGACACGGGGACATGGTTAGCTTTGGGTTTCAAATGCTTCTGGGAGGTCGGCTCTTTGATTTTCTAGTCTTACAGGGTGAGGTGTATTGTTTAGTCAGCAATGAAATTTTCAAATTAAGGCACCTACAACACTTAATAATGTTAGGAGATTACCACTTCCAATTGTAAATTAGCTTGACCATGGATCTTAACCTTGCTAGGTAAATACCTAAACCTTGAGCAAGCTGCTTCTTTTCAACTCAAAGTCTGAAAGTGTGGCGCATTAGTAAGGTGTTCTTTTTATCTGACAAAAGCCTGATAGGGTGGCATTTGACAATGGTATTTCAAGTGTGGTCAAACAATACTAATGTATTTCTTCATCGTCAGGCAATACATGACTTATTCATTGGAACAAAACTATCTATGCAATGTTAAATGACAACGACGTTTCAAAAATCGAAAGCTCATGGATAACTTCATCTCTCCATGGTCCACCATCCTTTTCAGAACAGCTGCTTGTGCACTGTTCTCAGACCCCTTCTTGAATTCTCTCAACAGAAAAAAAAAACAATTCAGAACAGGAGGGGATTGTTAAGATGCAGTGCCCCTAGTTACGTTACTGCATCATTGACGTGTAACGGTCCTAAGCGGACACAGGGACACGGTTAGCGTTTGATCTTCCGGTCTTACATGACGAGGTGTATTATTAGTCAGCCAGGAATTATTCAAATTAAGTCACTTACATCACTCGATAATGTTAGAGATTACCACTTCCAATTGTAAATTAGCTTGACTATGGGCTTCGCGTCGCTACATGACTAACTAAACCTTGAGTAAGTCTCTTATCAAATCAAAAGTCTGAAAGTGCGGCGCCTGAGCATTTTTTTTTCTGATGGAAGCCTGATTCTGTGACATTTGGCAAAAGTTTTTCGAGGGTGGTTGGCAATACCACCGTATTTTTTAGCGGGCAAGCAATCCATGACTTATTCATCACAAGAAAAATATCTATGAAATGTTAAACGATAACGACATTTTAAAAATCAAAAACTTATGGATGACTTCATCTTCATGGTCTACCATCCTTTTCAAAACAGCTGCTTTGTTACTGTTCTCAGACCCCACTGCTTGGGCACTATTCTCAGATCCCTTGTTGCATTCTTTCATGTAATTTTCCCCATGACAGAGAGGGCATATGGATTCCCAAGAGCCCACCACCATCTCACTTTAGGGTGCCCAGTGGCCAGAATTGGAAAAGGATTAGTACTCTGGTCATGCCCATCTGCAATTATTAAATTGCATTATCCTTTGTTATTTTATAAATCATTGGTGCGCGGTGGTGTGACGAAGGCCGAAGACACGATTAGTATTGTTTTGAAATGTATCTGGAAGGTCAGCCCTTTGATCTTCTGGTCATATAAGGGTGATGTGTATTGGTTTGTCATCAATGAATTATTCAAGTTAAGGCACCTAGATCACTTGCATAATGTTAGATTACAACCCCATTGGAAATTAACTGGACCATGGGCTTCACCTTGCCACATGACTATACCTTGAACAAGTTTGTTTTGCCCAACTGAAAGTCTGAAAGTCCGGCCGGTAAGCAAGGTTTGTTTGTTTATTCTGATGGAAGCCTAAAACTGTTAAACTACAGCATTTAGAGAGAAAGGTCGACAATACAAATGTAGCTCTTTAGGAATTAAGCAACCCATGACTTATTCATCATGGCAACACTATCTGTATAAAAATAAATAAATGACGAGGACAATTGAAGAAATGGAAAAGTCATGGACAACTTCATCTTCTTGATCTATACATTTATTATTGTGACGTTTCAATGTTTATTTGGCTGGTCTTCTTTACTTCAGTTTGCACCATCACTTGATAGTTGATACGACTATATATACCATGAAAAACGCTTTCCCAGATTCATATTTTTGACCATTTTTTAATATCTGTATCTTAATCCTTTTATATTGCCTTTTTTGCAGAAAACATGTGCGATATGCTTGACCATAATGAAACCTGGTCAGGGCCATGCTCTATTCACGGCAGAGTGCTCACATACCTTTCACTTCCATTGTATATCTGCAAATGTTAAGCATGGAAGCAACAATTGTCCAGTTTGTCGCACCGAATGGAAGGAACTTCCATTTCGTGGCCCGCTGGTTGCTGCAATCCCTCAAGGAAGTGCAAGGATTAATCCTGTTAATGGGCAGCAAAATGGCGGCCACATGACGCTATTGCGACCACTCCCTCGTGCTCGTTCTTCTGGTCGCCTTCATCATGTAACTTGTTTGTTGCCTGACACAGACCGAAGTGTTTTCAATGATGATGAACCCTTGGACTTGTGTGAAGCAACCGATGACCATCAGCAGGGATGTTCAAGAACAGTAGAGATAACGACACACCCTGAGTTCACTGAAATACCAGAAAGTACTTCAGAAAGAAGCTTCACTGTTCTAATTCATCTAAAGGCACCCCTTGCTCAGAGTTTGCACGTACCTGGAGATGACAGTAGCCCAAACACTGGTCGAGCCCCGGTTGATCTTATCACAGTGCTTGATGTCAGTGGTAGCATGGCTGGTACCAAACTTGCATTGCTGAAGAGGGCCATGGGGTTTGTCATTCAGAACCTTGGCTCCTCAGACCGGCTTTCTGTCATCGCCTTCTCATCATCTGCACGCAGGCTCTTCCCTCTTCGTCGGATGACCGAATCTGGTCGTAAGCAAAGCTTGCTAGCAGTCAATTCTCTGACGTCAAATGGTGGCACCAACATTGCTGAGGGTCTGAGAAAAGGCTCCAAAGTGATTGAAGAACGACAGGCCAAGAATCCAGTCTGCAGCATTATCCTTTTATCAGACGGGCAAGACACATATACAGTCTCACCAAGCACGGGTGCACACAAACCATTTACAGTCTCACCAACTGCCTGTGCACAGAAAGCATCAGCGGAGTACTGTGCGCTCTTGCCATCTACTAATGGCAGTCAGCAGGTACCAGTTCATGTCTTCGGGTTCGGTGCTGACCATGATGCAGTTTCGCTCCATTCGATCTCTCAAACCTCTGGTGGGACCTTTTCATTCATCGAGACGGAGGCTACCATCCAAGATGCATTCGCCCAATGTATTGGTGGACTCTTGAGTGTGGTCGCACAGGATTTGCGTGTAAAGGTGGAGAGTGTGCACCCTGATGTGCACTTTGGTTCCATCAGATCAGGTAGCTACTCCAGCAGAATTGCAGATGATAAGAGGAATGGGTCCATTGATGTTGGTGACCTGTATGCTGAAGAGGAAAGGGATTTTCTCATGACTCTGAACGTTCCCCAAGGCTGTGGCGAAGAAACGGCACTTCTCAAAGTTGGTTGTGTCTACAAAGATCCGCTGATGAAGGAGACCATCAACATGGCTGAGGTGCAGGTGAAGATCTCTAGGCCTGCGTTCGTGTCGGTGCAAACCGTGTCGATCCAGGTGGACCGGCAGAAGAACCGTCTTCATGCAGCAGAGGTGATGGCCGCGGCAAGGTTCTCCGCGGAGCGTGGCGAGCTGGCACACGCGGTCTCGCTGCTCGAGGACTGCCGGAGAATGATCATGGGGTCTGCGTCGGGGCAGTCCGGCGACCGGCTGTGCCAGTCGCTGGACGCGGAGCTGAAGGAGATGCAGGAGAGGATGGCGAGCCGGCAGAGGTACGAGGCGTCCGGGCGCGCCTACGTGCTGTCGGGCCTGAGCTCGCACTCGTGGCAGAGGGCGACCGCCCGCGGCGACTCCACGGACAGCGAGAGCCTGATCCAGGCTTACCAGACGACGTCGATGGTCGACATGGTACTGCGCTCCCAGACACTGACCCGCTCGTCGACCCCGAAGCAAACCCCACAGATGAGGCACGCCAAGTCGTTCCCGGCGCGCCCGCAGCCTAGGTAGGTAAAAGAAACCGCGCCCCGGCACGATCGGCGCCGAAATAAGGATCTTTAGCTGAATTTAGATTCTGTGGAAGCAGCAGTAGTGGTGTGAGTTGGATTCTTGGTTTTTGTTGGGGTGTGTGGGGGTGATGGGATTGGGTTGGGGGTGGTACAAATGGTGTGGTATAAGGAGATGTAAATTTGTTTTGGGGGCTGGTGGTGGTGGTGGGGGTGAGGGTATATGGAGAGAGTTAAGTTAAGGTGAG